TACCAAAAATGATGAGTACGAAACATTTTTTCTCATAAGGAATAATGTACAATAGTGAGTCACCAGGCAGCCAACCACAGTCTGGGTCCTCATTTTACCCACCTCGGAAGGATGGAAGGCTGAGTCAACCCTGAGCCGGTGAGATCTGAACCGCCAAACTGCAGCTTAGCAGTCAGCTGAAGTGGCTGCAGTACTGCACTCTAACCACTGCGCCACCTCGGCTCTATTGAAGTTGTTTTCACTCCTTCTTTCCAAACATCTAAATATGCTTCCCATTTGGACCACAGTTGTCCACACTCCAAACAAGGAAATTTAAATCTTAATTCATGTCTCATTGTGCTATTTACAGTGGTACGTTGATATTCAGCTGCTTTGAAGCTCATCAAATTTGATACTCAACACATTTTGACATGAAAATTTTGCCCCAATACTCATTCATTGTTTAGTATTCAATGCACAAGCTGGACTTGTTGTGGTTGGCTGCCTGGTGACTCACTATTGTACATTATTCCTTATGAGAAAAAATGTTTCGTACTCATCATTTTTGGTACTGATTGCATCTCCTGGAACCAACTAAGAATGAGTACTAAGGTACTACTGTATATATTAGAGTGCTGCCATTTGAAAGTATTGCAACTCTTGAATGAGCTTTCTTGAACATTACTAACCAGGAAAGTCTATATATAAAATTTTTATTTAAAGAGAAAAGGGTAATAATTTGCTCAACTCATAAAATAACTTAATTAATATGGGTTCTGGAGTGATTTGCTATTATTCCTTCTCCATATGCACCTCCATAACTGTCTGGTTTGGCTCTGCAGCCAAACAAGCAGACATAGACTTCAACGGATAATTAGAACTGCAGAAAAAGAAATTGCTACCAACCTGCCTTTCTTTGAGGACCTGTATCAGTGGTGGGATTCAGCCTATTCACACCTATTCAGGAGAACCGGTTGTTAACTTTCTAAAAAATTTGAATAACCGGTTGTTGGAAGAAATCTTATTTTGTTTGTTTCCACTTTATAGGGATAATCCTATATGGAACACAGGAAGGAAATATTCTGGTGTTGTTTCTAGCTTTATCTTTATTGCCCTGTTTACAGAAACTGCCTCCCTGGTTAACCCTTATTACATTGTAACAGCTAAGGCGAAGTTCCCATCAGCTTAGCAATAGCAGTTAGACTTACATACCGCTTCATAGGGCTTTCAGCCCTCTCTAAGCAGTTTACAGAGTCAGCA